CCTCTCGCGCGACGTGATTGGTCCGTGGTTTTTCGTTAATAATTCAAAAACGAACCACCATTCGACATTTTTGCAAAGGGAATTTTTGTTCAGAATCGTCTCAGCTACCATTTCCGGTGCTTACACTAATTCTGGGACACCCTGTATAAACAACAATAAATTAACACTAAATCTACCACGACCGGTCAAATGACCGTTTTCAAACTTTACCGTATATTTCTTACATGCGATTCTGATTTACACACAATTGTTCCATGTATTATTCAATTCAATTCACCGTAAAACATTTTTGCATTTAATTGAAAAAAGTGTGTTTAAGATTAGTCATTTGGCCCATCACCATATATAGTAAATAGTTAGTTAAAAACGAGCGTCGGTAGGTTTGGTGTTAAATACTCCTATTTTAATATTATCCATTCTTTACGAACAATCTATAAATAATACCCCTAAATAACTGCAAGCAATAACCTCCTACCTAACATGCGACATGTGTCTTTAAGATTAATCATTTGTCCCATCACCACATAAATAGTTACAAACGAGCGTCGGTAGGTTTAGTGTTAAATACTCCTTTTTTAATATTATCCATTCTTTACGAACAATCTATAAATAATACCCCTAAATAACTGCAAGCAATAACCTCCTACTTAACATGCGACATCAAAACCAGAAAAATTAAATCCTGATTAAATCATCCCCGAAATTCTACTCTGGTATTTGCCCCCACGCGAAGGAGCCATCAGGCCTAAGTGTACCCTCAAACAACGAGGCCCACACAGCTGATCAGAGAGCCAAGACAAACCGGAAAGAGTGGTACCAGCGACAATGGGATGGAGACGAATTCCCCACAGAAGGAAAAAGACACTGTGTGTGTGCACACTGCCAAGAGGAGAGGGGCGTAATGCCTTAGCAAAGCAGCTTGTTCCTCGCATTCCTTCTCGCGGTGCTTGTCGCGTTCTCGTCCCGTGCATTATACATATACGACTAAACTCGGCGGTCTCAAGTTCCTGAGAACCGAACCCACGGGGACTCATAACACCGTCGATCCCATACCCTGTGCCGCACCTTCTTTCCCTGCGATCCTCGCCGCCTAAATAGAGAGTCCAACGTCGCCCATTCAGCGTTTCTTTTTATTCCATTCGACACGGGGGCTAAGCCTCTACATCGTCATTACGTCACGATATTGAGTTACGCCCCTCGTCGATGCCTCATTCCTGGATTCCTCAGTTCTCGACAATCCCATAGTACTTTAGGTACCGAGGCTGCGAGTTAAGATAGGAACTAAAAGAAAGGCGATACGCCGAGACTAAACAGTGAAGGTTAGATCCACTTGAAGGAGACTTATCTGTTTTATTTTTTGGAGAATTGAGAATTGTAACTTCTTACACGAAATTAAAATTTTTATTTAATAGTTTTTCGATGTTTCTTTCAGAGATATTGGCAAACGTATAAAAATCTTGCTGTAATTTGCGAATGTGAAGTTACTGTTCAGTTACTGAAAGATACTCTGAAAATGGTACGATAGTTCCGTGATAACCAAATGCAATTTTGTTGTTTTTTTATTGGCACGATTCACCGGACGAAACGAACTTGTATGTATCATGCGAACTCTGCGATTTCTCTTTCGGGTAGGCACACGAACGCGCAGCCACCTAGCGGTTGGGAGCGGTAGTTAGGGAGTACCGAGTATAGCCCAGAGCGTTCAATTAGTACGATAACGATAACTTATTTGCATTTTGATCTAAATTGAAAAAATTCACATGAAAATCCGTGTGTTCCATAAGGGCCCTCGTTAAAATTTCCAAATTTTAATATAAGTTTTCGTAAAACTGTTCAATTTAAATTGAATCGAAGAACAAGGAAGTGAAGTTTCCTTAAAACTCTCCGCTAAATAAATCTACGAAACGGTTTCCTTAAACACGAGTCGACTTCCGGTCGAGAGCGTCGACGAAGTCATTCGGGACCTCTGCGAATCGAGATCTTATCCTATCTTCACGGATTCCTGCGGTTAAAACGGTTCGAGGCTTCCGGGGGTATAAACTGTGTCCTTCTTGGGAGAGGTTTCTCGATTTCTATCGGGTGTTTCAGCTTTCTCAGGGGGAGTGAACGCTGCCATTCAAGTGTTCCGAGACGAACGTACACGTATCGCGCGATTCCTTGTTAGAGTCAGCTGCGGATACCGCGAAATGGTGTCGCCTGATCAACAATCTGAACAGTCTGCACCACCTCCCATCCCAGATGTTCGTTCTGTTCCTCGCACGACCAATTCGGACCTGCAACTGGTGATCAATGATTCCTCACGCAGGGACATTAAACGCGTTGTATCACGTGCAATTCCATGGCACCTGTTGCGACTGTTAGCCACCATCCTTAGACAGATGGGACGAAAGTTTATCTTGGGAGTCATCTGGTTGACCCGAGAATTCGGATTGGCACTTGCCATTTGCATATGGCGGTTAAAAATTATCGGGATTAGCCGACGAACCCTCGCTGTGGACGTTTACAACACGAGTTATACAAAATAGAGCCCCCAAGAAATATCTTATCTTGCTGTTATATAAAGAGACGTTTGTTTGTACGTATTGGGTTGTCCGGAAAGTTCATGCCTATTTTTAAGAAAAATTCAAAGGCATATTTGAATTTTGATGTATATTTGTTGAGTTATATATGTACCATTTTGTTCCACACCTTTCCACCTGTTAAGGAATGTACATATGTTATTTGTTTTCAGCCATTCCGATATATTCAGACCTGTACCGCCTAATAAAAATCGGCATGGACTTTCCAGACAGCCTAATACTCAAAAATTTCCAAAACTACTTGACCGATTGATTCCAAATCTTAATAGTAGCTTCCTTGCTTTATCTGGAGTAACATAGGCTATGTTGTTTTAAGAAAAATGATATTACATTCGCGTAGAAATATGTAAGAATATGAGCAGTGTAAGAATATTGAGCAGTGAGCGCTCTGAGCTATGCCCGCTACTCCCTAACTACCGCTCCCAACCGCTAGGTGGCTGCGCGTTCGTGTGCCTACCCGAAAGAGAAATCGCAGAGTTCGCAGGGTATATACAAGTTTGTTTCAGCAGGTGAATCGTCTCAAAAGGAAGCAACCAAAAATGTTGCATATTCCGAAGTTATGTAATATCACATTACAGTGAATCCAGATTACTAATAATTCATTAAAATCTTAAACTCTGGAAGTATTATTAATACGATCTTTACTTTCAATATTTCTTTATATTCTCGCATATCGTGTGCATTTTATAGTCTCTCGCAGATTCAAATTTCCTCTAAATGCATAAAGATCCGCATATTAATCATTATCGTATTAATTGAACTTCCTGATAGCGAACCCCTCGTGCTAAATGCAATTATTTCCAATTAGATAAGTCGGTTAATGGTCGATTACTGGTTTTCGATTCTGCGCGAAGAAATCGGCGTGCCCCATACGCGAGCAGGCGTAATCCGTTGCAAACGAGCGATAGTATTACGTTTCGTAGCAAAGTTTCCTGGTGGTCCACTTGTCAAGCATCGCACCTGCCTTCCTAACCACTTAATGCCAACGCTAATGACCATTTATGGATCGTTGGGTGCACGACATGTGGGTAGTAAGGTGGAACGCTGTTTATTTTCCGTGCTTGATATGTTCTCTTTCCCTTCCCATGGGGGTAATCGCGGCAGAAAGGTACCTAATCTGCATATAATCGAAGATACACGAGGGGGAGTGGCTGTCGAAACAATGCACCTGGGTAACTCGTTCGCTTTTCAAATAAAAAAATAATTTCTTTCGAAAGCGCGCGAAGACCGAGGAACAAGTCCCAAGGACATTTCAAGGTCGATATAATTTTTGATTACATTAAAGAGACCAGAAAGTAATGTCGTCTCTGCGAATGTTAATACTTGTTCTTCGTTTATTCAAATATAAATCAATTTTTATGCAGACTTGATCCAGAATTGATTTTTATCAATTGCAAAAGGTTATTGACAAGGGACCAATTACATAATTGTTTGAAATTAAGAAGTTATTAAAATTGTATTTGTGTGAATTCGATATAAGGATACATCATCACTTTTCGGTTCTCATTTTGCCCATAGATATTTTTGAGTGATTAATTATAAAGTAAAATTCCAAAGTCGACCTATTTTCGTCCCTTAATCAAAGATGTAGGGGCGAATTTATGCGAAGCTCATTACGACCTCGTTCCAACATCGCGGAGGCCATTAGCAATGTACAAATTAATCAGGCTACCATCGCAAAGGACGTTGCCGGTTTAAGGTCGTTCACATGGCTCCCCGTTCATGGGAATTAATTTTGCTCCGCGCTTCTGTGTATCGATTTGCTCTCAAAGGACGATGAATAATGTAAGAAAAATATTAGCATTCATAGCGTTCCTGTGCTCCCAAATTAAAAACGCAAAACATTCGATCTCCCCTCTAACTTATCGATCCAACTTATTGATCTAACCAAATTGATTAGATTCATCGAATTGTACGCAACTGCCTTTTCGACCTCGATGAAGCAAAACAAATTTCTTTAGTTTAAATTTAAAGAATGGTAGCAAAACACTTTTCCATTCTTTTTCACTCTTTGTGCCTTGGTAATTAAAAGATGGCCGGCGAAGAGGGGCAAAGTCAACTAACGAGACGTATTGTTTCATTTGCAATAAAATTTGCATCCTCATCTGCCAAAGAGCAACGACTCACTTTAAACTTTGTTCGCTCTAAACTTTGTTAATTGCACTGAACATGTTGCATCGGCGTTGTCACGATATGAAATTGATATTAAATATTAAATTGGTGGGGGGAGGAGGGGAGGAGAATTGATTTCTATTTGTATTTGCACGTAAAATATTCTTGGATGTTATATTAAGCAAATGCAAACTTCTATCATTTTTTTGGTAGAGAGTGGGGTTTCAGAGGCCCCTATTAATTTTTATTTTGTAAAGTGACAGCCATCGCGACGTTATAAATGGGTCAACGTCGACTAACGAGGGGTATTGTTTAATTTGCAGATGCGACTGTGATCACCAGCGACGGCCTTCAAGGCTACGACCCCCAGTTCATGGTCGGCTGTTACTTTCCCGCGGAATTTCAGGGTGAGTTCATGACACAGGTGAGCGGAAAGGAAGCCAGCGATACGAACGGCGAGCCCATTCAATACTCCTCCATCAACATCACATTCAACGCCATACCCGTGTGGGGCTACTGCCACAGGAGGGTCGGCGATAACGTGTTGCTAATGGACAGGTCGGTTGAAATTACGAATAATTCATTTGACCGTGATTTTATCTAATTCCGGTGTCTCTCCGCGAACAGACGATGCCGATTCACTGGAATCTTTGTTAATTCCACTCAACATGTTGCATTGGCATTACCGAGCCAGCTATTTCAAATTTGGGGAGTGGATTCATTGAATTTTTAGTTGAAAATTATTCACAGCGCGATAGTGTCCAAAAAAGAACTAGGTCTAAACCTGCTCAGACAGTATTTCTGTGTAGACAGTATATGCATTAACAATATTCCACCAAACTGTCCAATATTGCCGTCTTCTTCACAAACTGGCCCAAACATACTCAGACAGTATTTCCACGTAGACAGTATTACATGTATACATTAATACTACTCAATATCGGCGCTCCCACCAAATATTATCCCAAACGTACTCAGAGAGTATTTCCTTGTAGACAGTACATGCATTAACACTTTTACCACATTCCCCACCACGCGACTTAAAATAACCATGAATTGAATTTTTATTTGTAAATTATAAAATATTATCCACAGCCTCTCGCGTGAGTGTTCAACGAAAACCTAGATCTAAACCTATTCAGACAGTATTTCCGTGTAGACAGTACATGCATTA